CGAAATTCACTGGCAAATTTTGGAAAGCACCTTCCCTTGCCTGGTATTAACTGTCGTTTCAAAACATTTAGAGAAATTTATGAATACCCACAGATATTCGATTTTGATGAACAAAACGCAGGCTGTTTCGACTGTAGAAGATACTTTGTGGATTACGATTGTCAGGTTTAGCTGTCTTGTTGCCTGGTCGTTTTAAACGCAATATAGGATTGTTGCTGTTTTGACGCATGGATTCCGCCTTCGCTGATGAGAAGCTGAAAGAGAGCTTAAATGAACAACTGAAAAGACTTATCAAGCAGTTGGCAGAAGTCGAAGAATTCAAGTAAACTTATTTTTTGCATTCATTCTAATATAATGACTTTTTCTGATGGTATGATAAGGACGGTGACGCAATTCTATATGACATAATTGTCGTGTTCAGTTTTGCTTTTTCTTGCCTCTGCTGCTCTTTGTGTTCAGAAAAATGAGGACAACTTGCGTTTAGCTTTATGTTAACGTATGGCAAACGTGAAATAAATTTTTGGAGTTAGTATAATTTAGATGCACATCTCTTCAGCTGGCAATGCTGCCATCTTTGAACGGTCTAGCAGCTCTGTTTGACTCTGCTCAGTGTAACTTAGCCTTCTTTGCATGCTATTGCTTGTATGCCTTCTAGACTATTGCTTGTTCCGTCATATGTAAATATCTGGTTGTGTCACTGTTGTATTTCTGATATTTATGAATATATTTGATCTTTCTATTGCCCGGTGATATCGCTCATTGCGAATTGTTTCATTTCCTTATTTGATTCTTTTCTATACAGTGATAATGTACAGTGTAATATACAGTGAAATCTGTAACATATGATAATAAATGATGAAAATTTACACTTGGAGGAACACGTCCGATGAATAGCTATATCTACAGGTACATAAGTTGCTAATATCTGGCCATCACTATATCCTTAATTTGCAAAGCTTTGTTTTTCAGTTTTGGCTTAGCTGTTTAGATATCTTGGCATGTGGTCGAATCGAATCTATTCTTGTCCATCTAAAGCTCTGTCAGCAGTTCTTACAACTTTTTAGTTTAAGGAAAACTGATTCTGATGCTTATGAGATAGCGATTATGCAAACACTTTTTTTGTGCGTCAACTCGTCCCATCATCCTTTTCATGCAGCAAAGTTTTTGTTTGTAATTTGTCATAAGACCATTTTCTGCTGATAGCAGTTATTATTGTTCTCTTCAAACAAATAAGCTTGATTGACTGACTAATTGATAGAAATTGAAAAACGCTTGTTCACGTTTCCCACAAATTGATCATAGTCGCCTGTTGCATTGTTCAAAATGCCGGACAAAACAACGTTTATAATATTTTTATTTATCGTTGTTGACCGTAGCGACGATAGTCAGCAGTGATCCTGGGGCAAGATAAAAATAACTACATTTTCTTTATGAATTCAAGAGCCTTTTTTCGCTAATGCATGTTCATCCTGATGTGAAGTTTTCTCTGTAACATTACATTCTCTTCGAACTTGCGTAAGCGCTTTTGTGCATGTAAGTCTAATATATCTTGCTGCCTTCTTAACAGAGTGACATTTCCAGCGCTTTTAGGGTACCAGCCTTCAGTAATGTTATCCAAGTGAACTTTTGCGCCTTTCCCATTTCATGACCTTCTTCATCTGCTGTTTTGTTTGCCTATCAAAACTGTTCTGCCCAAGTAAAGCAAATAGAGGTCAGGCACTCGTTTCCTCGATGGCTGTGTCCAGCACCTCATGATTCTCAAGCGCTAAACCTTGGTATTTTTGTCCTCTGCAATATTCATGTATGTTTTGCAATCCTGAAATTATGTGCAGTCATTTTGCCAGACCGTATGCCCACCGAACAGTACATGGTGAAACATCGAATGATGCTGCAGGAAATAAGCGAAGATCAACTGAAGCTTTCTGAATGGATTCCGCTGAAAAGACCGACAGTACCAAATCCTATCTTATTCCATAAACATGTTAAATGTGCAGCAGTTTTGCTCGTATAGTTTTATTCGATCTGTTACTATTACTGCATATCTGTTTACCCTACGATGCGAGATGGTGGGATAGAATTAATCAATCGGCGCTTCAATATACGCACATTTAGGTCGGAGCTGACCGAAGAAGAATACGAAGAGGCGAAGCGAGAAACGCAGGAACAGCTGGCTATTTTCCACGACACGTTGAACAACATTTCCAGCGGCAGTACGACTTTAATCGACGAACTGAGCGCCATGAAAATGGTAAACTACCTCTTTTCCAGGCTTCTATCACTGTTCCTGTTGACAGATGATCAAAACGGCGATTTCAGAAGCGTTCAAGACTCCGGAGGTTATTCGGTTGTTGGCAGATAAGCAACCAGCTAAGTTGAGGTATAGACTCGAACTGGTACGTGCTTGATTAAAATATTTGCCATAGTTCAATAATCCTAATATTAAATAATTTGCCATAGTAATTTCTTTAGTTGGAGCGTGATAACAAAGCCGGGTCTCTGTCGTTCAGTCAGTACTTGTTATCCAAAAGGGAGATATTAACGGCCCTTCGTGACCTTGGTGACACATTGTCGCCAGAAGAAACTGAATTGTTAGCGAACGATGGATCAGAGTTGAGGGATTCGCTGCAACCTGTCATAACTGATGGTATGACACTATATTTTCAACGATGAAACCTTTCGTAGATGTTTAAAATTAGAGTGACGTTCGACTGGGTTTCGAGCACTGCTTGATATGCCGGCTGTTTATGTAACATGCTTCATGTACAACACTAAGCAGTAAAATTAACAGACAAGAACAGATGATCTCTTTACACCTTTACAACCAAAAATTTAAACTTATCCTTGTTAGATACCTTATAGTATTCCCAGTTACTTAAATAACTTGCTAACTGTTTAAAAAAATTAATTTTTATCAGATTCCAAAAACATGATAATATAACATGGACTGGCCGGTAACTAGTCAATCGTGCCAAAACAGCATGCTCACCTTTTCTCGCGGTGTCGCTCCTTTTCTTTTTTAAAACGCGACTTTTCCGGCTTCTGATGTAATCTTCACACCGTCGTTGTGGGCGACTTCGCGGACCATTCCTCCCGCGAGGGTGTCAGCTAGTGATAATCGTCGACCATCTCCCGTTGG